ACAATATCATAAAAATGAGATCCACGTAGGATTTGTGAGTTAAGTTTATTGTCCTACAACCCACCCTCACTTAAGTCGTTGTAAGCCACACTTGAGGGACGGTTGATTGTAGACATGTGCAATACTGAACCCCATTCCTTCCAAATGAATTTTTATTTACAATGTTTTCTTTTACTACTTCGTTATACAATATTGCTTGAACATTTCACATCGTTCTTTGGATAATTTCGATTTAAAATATTCAGGAGGAATAGTATGAGATAGTAGTGCTGATTGTTCTGAATAAAAAGTTGAAATAAACTTCGCACTACTTCAAAGATGCAGTGTGTAACATCTAACCTAAAACTTTAACAGAAAACAGTTTCATATAGTTGAGACAATCAAAATTGGCATAGTCCGCAAAAAATATCCGTGAGAATGGACATATCTTCATTTTTGTTTCCACTTGAAACTGTATTCATTTGCTACATTTTTAAGACGTCATTGTTAAGTTAGGAAATGCTTCAGTGGGCGGTGTAGACAAAGTGAGAAGAGATAACTGAATAATAGTAAGCGGTGCAGTGGTTAGAGGTTGCTTAGGTGCGCTAAATATCAGGATTAGCTTTATAACTGCCGGATTGGAATTATATCTTTAAATAAGCGTCTTGATTTCCTTAATTCATTAATGAGAATGTGGTACTTTCTTTAAAGTTCGATGCTGGGTTTCTGGATTCTGTGATCCATCAATTAATCTAATGTTATTCCTTTTTCTTTATTAGTGTCTGCTGCAATTCCTATCTGACATCTCTTTTCTATGTTTATGATATTCTCTATAACGTTTGTCGTGAGTAAAGATAGGCGTTCTGTGAGAAACCGCTCTACTCCAGTTAGTAAGTCAAAAGAAGAAAGTAAGCCGGACTAATTGTTGAACGAGAATCATTCTTTCGTCATATCTCGCTCGTTTTAGGTAGACGTATGCCCACAGGCTAGTAACAAAAAGTAGCTCTTAAAGCGAAATTTTTGAGTAGCGTAAATATACCGACCTTCATCCCTATCATAAAATCAACCAATAAGGATTCGACTTTCAAGTAGAGGGGTTTTGGTCGGTAGGTCCGAGGACTTCTTCCTCGGGAATCCGACACTACCCACTACTATCGTACGGACGGCTTAGCTAAACTTCGCAATTCCCTAAAACTAGAACAACCCACATCCTTAACTCTTTGCGTCTCGATTTGTATATATTACAATAAGCTTTTATTAAACTTCTTTCTACAAAACTGTCCTTTTGAAGAGGCATAATAATATTTCCAATAAATATAGCATATTTGTGAAAATAATAGGTAAACCTTCATAATTAATACACACTACCGCATTATTATATTAGAGCGGCTGAAATTTAAAATTGCCTTTGGTCAAACAGAAGGATCAATTTTTATGCAGAACAAGCATAATTAAAGGAAATACGTATACTTTATTAAATAATTCAATTTGCAATATCACGGTGTGTATTTAATAACTAGTAATTTGAAGCATTTGAAAGAGGATTTATCCAGATATATATCTCCCACATGTTATATATCTAGAGAGTAAAAATTTTAACCCCATCTCAAAGATTCAGTAAAAGACTAAGAAACATGTCACTTACACGACAGCTGTGATGAATGATGAACTGAATGTATTATTGTTAATGTGCATTCCTAAGTAATCACTCTGTCACACTGAGGAAATATACAAAATTATAATTTTAACAATCGATAGATATGGTGGAATATTTGTAACTATTATTTAATTCTCAACAACTTTTCTTTATAACGGTTCATATTTTGTGACAAAACTTGTATATGACTGACAAATTATTAAGTCGAATGAAATCATTATGTGTTTTAGGTTATGCAGGACTTTTTATAAAGACTAACTTTTTTTCGTAAGATTAATAATAAAAAAGTTTCCCATAAGCTGCTTACACAATGTATATCCTTATTAATTTAATCTAAAGGGGCGACGTGAATTTTTGATTTGTGTCGGTTTCTACATGGATTTTCCCAATCGTTGCATTCTTTACATTTACATTGAAGGTAATACAACACAGAAAAACGGATAAATAAAAAATGCATGTTTTTGTAAAAGACTATTTAGAATTTAATTTACCATTTAGACGTCTTAATCAATAACTTTTCGTAAATGGTTTTATGGTGTGGCTTGTAAATAAAACACAAGAATTACTTAGTTGAATATTTTATGTATTTCTTGTTATTGAGCTGTACAGCGTCAAACGTATCATGTAAATGTTCGACGTGTAAGACGGAGGTTAATGCACACATCACCGACAGTTGAAAGAAAACGCTTCAAATGGAAGAAGAAGAGGAAGGATCCCGCGTGGTACCAGTATTGATCTTTTGCACTTCCGGAGGTATGTCAAAAACGCCGCACACTTTGTTCGCTGGCAACGCTTTGTCTGAAACATGAAAAATTCATCGGTAGTGACAGAAACAAATGCATGCTTAATCATTCGCGATCTCCATGAAACGGGGAAATGATCGCTGGCATTTTCCCACGCGGCAACCAACAACGAACGAACGGAAAACGCCTGTCGGGCTGGTGTCCCTGCCTATACTTTGATGAAAGGGTCGCATCATAATACTATACACCATCATCGTCGGCGTCGTGCCGCTTCATCGGAATTAAGAAACTTAAGATTTTTTTAAAAGCTTGAAGAAATTTTGGAAG